CAAACCTGATTTGATTTGATGAGAACTACGTTTATTTCAGGCAGCTTACAAATGTTGAGGAAACGGTGTTAAATCAGAACTGCGTACTCCACCTTTAATCAAAACAGTTGCCGATTCAGTTTCTGTTGACACGTTTCAGCTTTACATTTTGGCACATCTGTCACGTAGAAGAAAATCAGCTGTTCTGTTTCCTAAAATCTAAACACAAAGAAACCATAACGTGGTAAACTCACCGCTAATAAAGCTGCTGCAGGTCTTCTGTAGCTCGATGCTATCGTGGCTACCTCTGAGGCGTTATCACCTGCCGGACCGAGCAGCCCCGACCGGAGCTGAACGAAACTCGCCGTCACCTGCACTTTGGACCTCACCGCTGCTTTACCCCCCCTTTTTTAGTGATGCTCATGTTTCCATGGCGACCCATAATGTGCTCCACGTGTACCTGCTCATTTTTAGCTCCATTGTGCTCTAATGAATGCTGCGAGCCGCGTCCCAGCTGCTACCGACAAGACAAAAACCGACACAGTCACGTGGCAACATGGAAAAAAAACAACTTTATTTGCCGTGATGGAAGGTTAATGGCCGGACTCGGTCTGATGTGGTCGTCTGTGAAGTGCAGCACACCTTGACACGCCTCCTTCCCCCAGCAAGGACAGTCCCGACGCTGTGTCATTAGCGAGAGCACATGTTTTCCTCCTCCTGCTCTGGCTTCGTGCCCTGCAAGCAAAAGAGAACCAGAAAATAACTTCACTAAATGACGGGACCGAAATAACCTGGCGTACACAAACAAACACACCTGCCACCCACGCACAGCATCTCCTTGACCTTGCCGTCACATCCTCCCGCTTCCCCCGGCCCGTCTGTCGTAAAGAAAAGAAAAAAAGCCTGACGTCTCGTGTGCCGCCTCTCATCCTGTTTTCTTTTTCTCTCCCTTTCATTGTCTCTCTGCTGTATCCAGTCGCAGACGGCAGCAGCGGGCCACAGCGACGTGCCTTTGAAACCGGAGGAATTTACCGTAGGAGAATCAACAGGTGAGGAATTGATTGTGTTTCCGAGTGTTCAATCAACACCCTCGGCTCGTCACATCAGTCTCTCCCTCCCTTCCTCCCTCACCAGCACCACTCCCTGCTGATTTCCCTCCGAAGCATATGCTCTCGCTGTGCGCAGGTTGTCATGCGTCCCTGCAGCATTATTCGTTGTTATTCAGCTTCTGCACAAATCCCCGCCGCGGCTCCGGTTCCAGACCGTGATTAGCAGGATTTGACAAGTAACACCAACCAGCAATTTACTGTAACTGCCGTTTTCAGCAGATTAGACGCTTCGGTACAGAAGCTTACAGCTGCAAAAAAAAAAAAAAAAAAACCCAGTAACTATCACAGACTTAAGGCTAATCCGGTCTGTGGAGAAACACTTGCAGCGCTGATTTCCAGGGATAGACTTTCTAAACAGTGGTTCAGCGTGTAAAGCGGGTGAATTACCTGACGGGAAACGCGCTCGCAAACTTTCATGTTTTGCGATTTAGCTGCAGGTTCTCCACAAAAGGGGCTGAGCCGCTGTCGGACCAAACGGCACCACCTGCAGGAGAGGAGAGGAAGCGCATTAATGTCTCCACCTGCAGGCAAAGCTCTGCAGACGTTATCTTCTGGCTTAATGCACCCACTGTTGCATGCAGTAATCATAATACTTTGAGCTGTGAAATGAAGGTTTTTGGGTCAGAATGGACAGAAAACCACGTTGGCTGCAAGCTGCTAAACCCGTCCTGTTGTAGTGGGACCTCCAGGTGTTTTTATTTTCCATCCCGTGCGCTGGGACGTACTAGATCAGTGTCTGGCGTTCTGTGTAGTGTGAATTAGCATCGGTGTTGGAATACGCCCAACGCTTAAGGCTCATTCTGTATAAAATCAGCTAAATCTGCACAAAGTTTCCCCTCCTGACTCCCTCAGAATCAGCCGGGGCTTTTATTTAGTGCTTCAGTGTGTTTAATGAAGCCAAATGCAAAATGTTGACTTCATGCGATGGATGTTCTCAGGTTCTCTGAACACATGGGGGCAGATCAAAGCGTCGGCCTTTTTAATTCATGCATAATATCGACGCTCACAGTGTGTCAGTGGAAACAAATCCTGGTGAACCTGCTGCCATGCTGGCTTCACACTGTGACACCTGGATGGATGTAAAACTGATCCGGGTGCAGTTTTTAACAGAACTCAGATGTGTTTTTCATTCCTGAAAATGTTTATCTGGTGGACTGAAGCTCAGAAATAATAGAAAAAAGCAACGCAAACTAATTATTAAGCTCATAACTTTAGGGACCTGTAACTCTGAAGATATTCACAGTGTGAAGGTGAAGCTTTGCAGGCATCCTTATTGTTATCTTACACAAAAAACAGCTGACAGGGATGAGCCGGGAGTTATTCAGACTTTGAGGGAGCGGTTCGCGAGGAAAGCCTCGTCTCTAGTCGTTATGCTAAGCTAGGCTAGCCACATCCTGACTCCAGACTCGTTCTATTTCACACGAGTGCATCTCCAAACATGTTGAAGTCAAGCATCCAGAATTAACTAAAAAACACCAGAAATAACTATCAGACCGTCTGTTCATGCGGTTCTGGCGCATCTGATCCGGTTTCTTTCTTTTTTTTTTTGTTCTGGACAAATGAAAACCGGCCTTAACGTTACAAACATAAACGTTTTCAGTGTCAATATTTAAATTTCTAGTTTTAAAACATCCTTTTTTTAATACTATTATGACATTTTTATATATTTTTAGAAGATACTGTAATTATCTAAGCATTATGATACCATTCAAGCCAAACTGTCGACGTTAAAAGCCTGCAGTGGCGACTAGAAAACAGCAGAAGGTCTTATGATTATTGTCAAACCAGCGTGAACTCATACAGTTCCTCCTCATCTATGGACCTCCCTCTCTGTTTGTGTTAAAGGATTTAGCTCCGTGCACAACAGAGCTGCTTCCTGTTTGCTTTAGGAGGGACAGATTTGAACCGGTTTGGTCCGACAGCAGATCCATCAGAGCAACACGACTCAATCTATCAGGTTGTTAAACATGAAACCTCAATGCAGCAGCGCCTGTTGCCTGCAGGTGGCGCAAGTGTCCCAACTGCAGCAGCTAGTTCTTGTGGCTGCAGCTCAACACCATCTCCAGGTCTGATCTGCTCGTGTTGGTTAGTTTGGACGTTTTAAAGCTGCTGAACCTGCAGTCCTGTGATCTGGTGTCTGACGCTGTGTGTCTTACATCTCTGACCTCCAGTGACCCACAACGACGGCAAGTTCAGCGCTCAGCTCTCCAAACTGACCGCCATCGGACGGACGCGGCACGACGAGCTGTAAGCGGTCCGACTCGACCAATCGGAGCGCCTCGATGAGCCTTCGAGCTCAGGAGTTGGATGAAGGAGCGTTAAAGTAGGAGGACGCCGACGCCGCCGCCTGCGTGTCGGTTCATTAATTACCTGCTGTTTTCTTATTGTAACCGGACTGAAGAATAAAAAAAACAAGGCTTCCAGATTTTTGTCCTAGTTATGATTGTGCCCTAAGACAAAGTGCTTCCATAGTTAGTTTCCGTGGCTGTAAGATTTACGGAGAATAATTCTGCTCTGATCCTCCGGGTGAATGCGGGATTGGTGTCTGGGGGCTGGTTGGGTATAGATAACATATTTAGACTAGGTGGGGATTTATCCATCTTGTGTAATCCTGGGAGGAAAGTGAGTAATCCGCAATATCGTCAGCGCACGCTCATAAACGAGTACGATTCTGCTCATTCTGCTCTGAGCCAAAAGGAGCACCTCGGCCTCTTTATCTGCTCCAGATAGACCCGTTAAAAACCATTATTTGATCCCAGAAATCAGGCTGAGAAGATGTTGACGCTGTGATTGTAACGGAGCAGCTGGTTGACATCAGGAGGAAGATGTTCAGGATGTTTTTTTTTATTTTAAACCATCATCAGGTCGTTCAAATCATCACAGTTTTTAGAACAATTTCTGCTCAAGCGTCTCTGATTTGGCACAAAACAAGAATATTTAAGATATTTGTGAAACTTTTTGCTTGACAACTTAAACACTTTTTTTCCTTTAAATCACCCGTCGACTCGCTTTTAACAGGTTTTTTTTCTCTTGTTGAAATTTGAGTCCATTTGAGCAACAACATCTCAGGAACTGTTAAAGATAAAAGCCTGAAATTTCCACTGTTGTTTCTCATCATACTGTTAATCCAGAATCTGTAATATTGGACGAGTAGCTCAAACAATCTTTAATTACGAGTGAGTTGAAAAATGGAAATATTTTCTAAAGCCGTCACGAAAAGTTTAACAAAAAACCCGATAAAGTAGACGTAAACTAGGGATGTTTTCTGAACCACGTGTAGCTGCAGGTCACTAGAACAAAAAACAAATTCATTAATATGAAATAATTGGTCACAAAAATGTATTAAAGTCATTTTTGTTGAACTTTCGCAGCGACTCGAAGCAACAGAATCCATTTCAGTTTATTGTAGCTGTAAAAGTTCAACAGAAATAACCAAGAATTTCATATAAAAACTATTCTCTATGTTCTGTTTTGTATTATTGTGACCTGCAGCTACAAGCGGTTCAGAACATATCAGTAGTTCACTTCTGCTTTATCAGAGTTTTTCTTAGTTTGTGCTCAAAGATGGAACTTTTAATTACAGCTTCCATTTTTTTTGGTCATATTTCAACTCACCCATAATTAGAGATTATTTAATCTATTTGTCCAATATTACAGATTCTGAATCAACAACATGATGAGAAATAAGAGAAAAAATTTCAGGCTTTTATCTTTAATAGTTCCTGAGATGTTGTTCATCAAATGGACTCAAATTTTAATGAATTTTAATGTGCATAAAAAAAAAGTTGGTGAAAGTCGGTCGACGGGCAATTTCTAGAAAATATATTATCTTGGAAAGAATTTGATATATCTATCTAAAACTTCACAGATATCTTAATTAATATTTATATTTAAATATTCAACAGTGCATACTCTGAAATAATAGTTAAAATTTTCTGACTTTTATTTGTAATAGTTTCTGAGTTCAACGTGCAAAAAAAAGTGCTGAAAGTCCTTCAACGTGCAATTTGGGAAAACAATTCTGTCTCAGAGATTTTTTAATCTATTTATTCAGTGTTACAGATTCTGAATCAGTGACATGATGAGAAAGAAGAGTGAAAATTTCAGGCTTTTATCTTTAATAGTTCCTGAGATGTTGTCGTTCAAACGGACTCAAATTTCAACGTGAGAAAAATAAAACCTGCTGGATGAAGGTCGGCGGGAAATTTCTATTAAAAGAAAAAAATTATGTTGGAAAGTATTTGATTTGTTGAGCTAAAATTTCACAGATATCTTAATAAATATTCATCTTATAAAATTCAATATTGTAGATTCTGAATCAATGAAATGTTGAGAAATAAGTAAAAAATTTTAGACTTTTGAGGAAATCAGTTCTGAAAGTACACGTGAAAAAAAATATATCTCAGAAAGTGTTTGATATATGAAGCTAAAATTCCACCAGTGACTTTTAAAACATCCTGAAAGATGAAATAACCGATTAAATTCTGAATCAATGCCAAGCTGAGAAATGAAAAATGAAATATGAGGCTTTTATCTTCATCACTTCCTGAGAAATCGTTTCTCAAACAGCCTCAAATTTGTATTTAAAAAGTGTTGAAAGAACTTTTAAAGAAATTATCTCAGGAAGTATCAGATATATGAGGCTGAAATGTCACAGATACCATTTTGAATATCTGTAGTTTATGATAGAAAAGTTTCAAGCGAATCAGAGGTGTCTGAGCAGAAGGAACCCGATGGTCTGAGATGGATGTTTCCTAAACTTTGATCCCGTTCAGCAGCATTTTTTATGAGTCATTTTAACCCCAAAATCCTGAAACATGAGTCTGGACGGTAAAGAAACGCCAGCACATGCTCCTGACCCCTCTGCTTTGGATCAGGGAGGATGTAGGTCCCAGAGGCGCTCCGTTATCATTACAGGTCACCTCGTCTTATGTTATTACTTCATCCTCCTCACATCGATCCCTCAGAGTCACACTGGGGGGTTCTGAGGGGTTCTGGGGGGTTCTGGGGGGTTCCAGATGTGCTTCTGTGTTATTTGTACCTTTTGGTCGCTCACATCTGGCGCTGAGGAAATGCTCCCTTTCTGTCCCATTGTCAGCGCCGAGGCTCCGTCTGGAAACCATCACATCCAGATCCTGACCCGGGACACAAAACACAACAACGTTACTGACTTTTGTACATGTTTGTTTGTTTCTCTTCTTATTTTTATTTTTTTTTGCCACTCTGATGATGAAATGTGACGGGAGTTTGAATAAAAGACGCGCTGTCACTCTTGTGGAGATAACTCTGGTGTTTTTGTCTTATTATGTCAGTCATGATCTGATTGAACCTCCCACGGCCTTGTTAAAGGGTAAACATGAAAAGAGAGGAGAAATATGAGTGCCAGCGTCGAGGCATTAAATATTCTGAGCGCTGCTGGAGCCGGGCCACGGCGCCGGAGAGCATTTTTATTCCCCCCCTCGTCGTATCTGTACAGAATGGCGTCGTTTTAGCACCGGCCGGCGCTAATGTACTTCCAATTTAAACCACTTTGTAAGCAGCAGAGAAACTCCGCGGTTGCACGACGCCGTGTGAAACTATTAAAATATTAAAATGAGGAATCTGCTCCAGCATGTATTCTGTAAGCGTAGTCAATTAACATATATTGTCCCCGGATAAATGTTTCCATGAGATAAAGAGCTTCCATTGTTTCTCCTTAATTTTCTGTGGGAGAAAAGGCTTTGCGGCGAGGATCCGCTAAATCCAGAGGCACATATGGGAACGTATAGCGCGCTGATCTTTGTGGGCTTACAGAGATACCGAGTCAGGAGGGATTTATTCATCTTATGTTAAGCCCGGGGAAAAATCTAGATTGTCCTCAAATTTGATACGAGAACTACACGTCTAAAGTGCACCATTAAGCTGCGTTTTAATGTAGAATATAGCCGTTTTATTGTAGAGGGAAGTCTCCGAACAAGATCTCGACAAGCCGCGCGGTGAAACTCCCGCAGAGTCTCGTAATTAAGGCGCGTTACAGCGAAGCCGCCGCTCTGATTTCCATTTTTTTTGTGGCCTTGTGAAGGAAAAATGTGACACTTTGTTCTCCAGTCGGTTGTTCCGTCGAGTCGAAAGTCTCTGCAGCACAATAGCTCTTTGTTTGTCGTCGGTTCGGGCTGTCGATGGGACTCGGAGCTGTCATCCCAACCCTGAACACATATCACTACTGTTTACCATCTGGCACCAGTAGAGATGTTTGCTTTCAACTTGCCCCCCCCGTTTCACAGCGCAACCATCAGGAAGACTCGCGCACCATCCTGCCAAGAAGTGGCCTAGATTACGACGGCGTGCATTAGAAAGCTTTGATCAGGAGCATTTTTAGCCACGACGTCGAGCCGATCCGCCGTCGTCCCGCCGCTCAAACTCCTGCGATCCCGCCTCAGAGCCGCCCGCTGACGGTTACTCTGAAAAAAAATGTAGTTCACTGCCCTGAAATGTGATTTACGTCAGTGTGAGGGAGAAATTTGGATTTACTGCAACACCGGATGGTCAAGGATGTGCAACAACATCTAAACAAGTTTCTGACTTATTAACAATAAATAAAGACGTAACGCCGCTTTTACATACATGAGACGTGATGCAACGTAGCAGGAAGCAGTTGCCGGGATGAAATATTAACAGGTATAAATATGCAATAAACGCGTCTGCAGGCTGAATAATGCAGCGTTTACATCATAGAGTCGACCCAGGAGGGGTTTCCGGTCGGGATGGTTCACCCTTCGACGACCAGCGCTTCTCTCGACCTTTCGTTCCCCCCTCGGCGTCGAACGAGACGGGAACTCTGTGGATCTGAAGTTCCAGAGAACATTTTGTTTTGCAGCTAATCTTCTAAAGATAACAAAAAAAAAATTTCACCAGAAAACTTGTTCTGTTTCCCTACAGCAGCGTGAAATGGAAAGAAAAGATAGAAGTAATGTAGATCTGCAGCGAGTGAAGAAGAGGAGCAAGAAGACGAAGGTTGTTTGAAAGTTCTTAATGGGAAGGAAATAACTGGCCAACATAATAAGACGTATATAATTTAATTTATGCTGCAAATTGGACCTAAAGCTGCTGAACGAGCCGAACACTGTAAAACATCAGAAAGGAAACGAGTCAAATCAACTCGTCTTTACTCGTTTATTGGATGTAAATATGTGGAGTTTCTCACTAAATTACTTTCAGATCTTGTCCATCGAACTTAAAAACACGAGTTCTTACAACTTGAGGCATTAAATTAACTTCATTAGAAACAAAGCTCGTTAGAAACTCGACCAGACGTGATGGAAACTTGCTGCGTGTCTTTGATTAAAATCCGCTTGTTTCTTTTCATAATAATCAAAACAAACACGACGCCGGTTGGAACTGAACAGATTTATAATTCATCTCATTGTAACCAGAAGCAGCTTCACT